GTTTGGCATGGTGTCGGGCCTTTTTCTTTTCACATTGTGTCGGGCCCCTTCGAAAACCCGCCCCGGGAGATCCCGTTTGGCATGGTGTCGGGCCCCGTCCGCGGCGGATGGTCTCTGGTGGGGAATCGGGGCCAGATTCGGAAACGGGGCCAGATTCTCCACGGGAGACCCCCCGTCGCGGACAGGGCTAGTGTTTTTTTGCAGTTTTGGGTAGTAATGGTCCCGGGAGATCCCGTTTGACATGGTGTCGGGCCTTAGATTTGACATGGTGTCGAACCCCTTCGAAAACCCGCCCCGGGAGGTCCCGTTTGGCATGGTGTCGGGCCCCGTCCGCGGCGGATGGTCTCTGGTGGGGAATCGGGGCCAGATTCTCCACGGGAGACCCCCCGCCGCGGACAGTGCTGGTGTTTTTTTTTTTTGCAGTTTTAGATATATTTTGGTGATTTTCAGTGTTTTTTTTGTGATTTTGGCTATATTGTAATGATTTCTAATGTTTTTTTTGCAGTTTTGGGTAGTAATGGTCCCGGGAGGTCCCGTTTGGCATGGTGTCGGGCCTTGGATTTGACATGATGTCGGGCCCCTTCGAAAACCCGCCCCGGGAGGTCCCGTTTGGCATGGTGTCGGGCCCCGTCCGCGGCGGATGGTCTCTGGTGGGGAATCGGGACCAGATTCTCCACGGGAGACCCCCCGCCGCGGACAGTGCTAGTGTTTGTTTGCAGTTTTGGGTATGTATTGGTGATTTTCATTTTTTTTTTTTTTTTGATTTTGGCTATATTTTAATGGTTTCTAGTGTTTTTTTGCAGTTTTAGGTAGTAATGGTCCCGGGAGGTCCCGTTTGGCATGATGTCGGGCCTTGGATTTGACATGGTGTCGGGCCCCTTCGAAAATCCGCCCCGGGAGATCCCGTTTGTCATGGTGTCGGGCCCCGTCCGCGGCGGATGGTCTCTGGTGGGGAATCGGGGCCAGATTCTCCACGGGAGACCCCCCGCCGCGGACAATGCTAGTTTTTTTTTTTGTTTTTTTTGCAATTTTGAGTATATTTTGGTGATTTTCAGTGTTTTTTTTATGATTTTGGCTATATTTTAATGATTTCTAATGTTTTTTTTGCAGTTTTGGGTAGTACTGGTCCCAGGAGGTCCCGTTTGGCATGGTGTCGGGCCTTGGATTTGACATGGTGTCGGGCCCCTTCGAAAACCCGCCCCGGGAGATCCCGTTGAGCATGGTGTCGGGCCCCGTCCGCGGCGGATGGTCTCTGGTGGGGAATCGGGGCCAGATTCTCCACGGGAGATCCCCCGCCGCGGACAATGCTAGTGTTTTTTTTGCATTTATTTGTATATTTTGGTGATTTTCACTTTTTTTTTTTTTTTTTTTTTTTTTTTTGTGATTTTGGCTGTATTTTACTGATTTCTACTGTTTTTTTTTACAATTTTGGATATTAATGGTCCCGGGAGGTCCCGTTTGGCATGGTGTCGGGCCTTGGATTTGACATGGTGTCGGGCCCCTTCGAAAACCCGCCCCGGGAGATCCCGTTTGGCATGGTGTCGGGCCCCGTCCGCGGCAGATGGTCTCTGGTGGGGAATCGGGACCAGCTTCTCCACGGGAGACCCCCCGCCGCGGACAGTGCTAGTGTTTGTTTGCAGTTTTGGGTATATTTTTGTGATTTTCAGTGTTTTTTTTGTGATTTTGATATATTTCAATGATTTCTGATGTTTTTTTTGCAGTTTTGGGTAGTAATGGTCCCGGGAGATCCCGTTTGGCATGGTGTCGGGCCTTGGATTTGACATGGTGTCGGGCCCCTTCGAAAACCCGCCCCGGGAGCTCCCGTTTGGCATGGTGTCGGGCCCCGTCCGCGGCGGAAGGTCTCTGGTGGGGAATCGAAGCCAGATTCTCCACGGGAGACCCCCCGTCGCAGACAGAGCTATTGTTTTTTTGCACTTTTGGGTAGTAATGGTCCCGGGAGCTCCCGTTTGACATGGTGTCGGGCCTTAGATTTGACATAGTGTCGGGCCTCTTCGAAAACCCGCCCCGGGAGGTCCCGTTTGGCATGGTGTCGAGCCCCGTCCGCGGCGGATGGTCTCTGGTGAGGAATCGGGGCCAGATTCTCCACGGGAGACCCTCCGCCGCAGACCATGCTGATGTTTTTTTGAAGTTTTGGGCATATTTTGGTTATTTTTCATTGTTTTTTTATGTTTTTGGACCATATTTTAACGATTTCCATAATTTTCTAATGATTCTGGAATATTTTAAAGATTTTCAAGATTTGTTATGATTTTGGATATATCGGGCATCAGCCGAATAAAGGCTTCAGAGGAATAGAGGCGTCACGGGCGTCATCGGTCTTCAGGCGAATAGAGGCGTCAGACAGAATAGAGGCGTCAGGAGCGTCAGCGAGCGTCAGCCGAATAGAGGCGTCAGCCAGAATAGAGGCGTCACAGGCGTCATCGAGCGTCAGCCGAATAAAGGCGTCAGAGGAATAGAGGCGTCACGAGCGTCATCGGTCTTCAGGCGAATAGAGGCGTCAGGCAGAATAGAGGCGTCAGGAGCGTCAGCGGGCGTCAGCCGAATAGAGGCGTCACACCGAATAGAGGCGTCACGGGTGTCAGCGATCGTCTGGCGCGTAGGAACGATAGGGCAAATACGGCGCCGAGCGAATAAAGGCGTCAGACGAATAGAGGCGTCAGAGGCGTCATCGGGCGTCAGGCCAATAGAGGCGTCAGCCAGAATAGAGGCGTCACAGGCGTCATCGAGCGTCAGGCGAACAGAGTCTTCAAATAAAGTCTCCAACACAATAGAGTCTTCAAATAGAGTCTTCATCTTCAGGCCGAATGGGGAACCCACCGGGCCACCCCCCTGTATATATATATATATATATATATCTCTATCTCTCTCTCTCTCTCGCTCTCTGCGATTGCGGTCCGCGCTGCCTGGTGCGTAAGGACTTATGGCCACGAGGATGCGAACTTTGCATAATTCCCAACCCTCCTGAGTTGGGTTCTCGTGTCAAATAGAGCATTGCTTGCGCGACCTCTCCCGCTCTCCCCTTCTCCTGCATCACCCTGCGCTGCTCCTTGGGTGGCTGCGAACTGCGCAAGGGTCGCCACTATCGTGGGCTCCTAGGAGGTCTGGAGGAGTCGGGGGCCGCGCGGACCCAGACGTGACCTCGCTGCTCCCTGGGTGGCTGCGAACTGCGCAAGTGTCGACGCGTTTGTGGGCTCCCGGGAGGTCCAGCGGAGTCGGGGGCCACGCGGACCCAAACTAGACCTCGCTGCTCCCTGGGTGGCTGCGAACTGTGCAATTGTGGCCACTTTGGCGGGCTCCCTGGGAGGTCCAGCAGGGACGGGGGCCACGCGGACCCAGAGGTCGGCATCTTCGTGCGCAAGTGTGTTGCCTATCCCTGAATGCGTTCATTTGTGAAGAGCTCTTCTTTCAATGGTCGCCTTGCTTGGAGGAGGGGCCGGTTGCTGCATTGAACCGGTTCCTTGTCGGCTGCCTCTTTCGCGCGGTCCTCAGTCATGGCACCTCAGTGAGACCAGAGAAGATACAATCTCCAGTTGTGGATTGGTAACTGGAGCCGTTGCAGGGAGCAGGAGCACCGCCGCCTCGCAGCCTGATGGCCCTCCAAGGGGGTCGGCGGATCCTAGCAAGAGTTCTTACAGTGGGGGCCCATGCCAAGAAACACCCTGCTTGCCTCCAGGGTGCCTTGGGTTTCTTGGGTTTCGATGGGTTTTGCTGTGGAAGGCGTGACGCTCCAAAGATCATGCGGACGTCCTGGGGTCTCGGGGCTGGGTTTCTTGTGGGGGGGTTCTTGTGGACAGGCCTCGACTGTATCGCATCTGCCTGTACCCCTCCTCCCTCCCGAGAAGGAGGAGCGGCTTCTGGGAGGATGGGGAAAGGATGGACAGGAGCAGCGGCAGCGGCTTCAAGAGAATAAGGACGAGGTCGATGAGGCAGACAATAATGATCGGAGAAGAGGAGGAGGCGGTACATATACATACATATACATATGCACAAGATGTCACTGGCTCGCTGCGGTTCGCGTTGCAATCTTGGTCGCATGGCGCCAGCGAGGTGCATTGCGACCACCATTGCCGTCACTTGGGACGGGGGAAATGGGGCGGCGCGGTCCTGGAGCTTGTAGAGGTGGCGGGCGCCACGGATCTGGAAGGTCCCCTGAAGGCTCCAGGGCGCACGGCGCTTGTATTGCTCGTGAGGGGCACACGGTCACATGTTGCATGGAGTTTGAACGGCTTACGGGGTACATGGGTCTCAACAGGAACGAAGAGCTCCCTGAGGTTCATGTTTCATGGGGCTGGGGCTTGGGCTGGGCTCGAGCTGGATCTGGGGCTTGAGCTGGAGCTGAGCTGGAGCCTCCTCTTCCTCCTTCTCCTCCTCCTCCTTCGCATCCTCCTCTCGGAGAACACGAAACGCTAGACGGTTAGATCGGCGCACCGCAACTCCAACCTGGGAGAGGAGTTCTGACAACACGGAAAGCACGAGTACCCCAGCAGAGCCTTCTAATAGCAGCGATGGTGACCCATATGGGGCCTGGCGAGAGCGGCCGTCGCCAAGCTGCCCCAACCGCCGCCAAGGCGCCAAGCACTGCCCCACCCACCAGGCACTGCATCCGACACGAGCATCAGAACCGCGTGGCCTCGCCACGGGAGGGGCTGGCGGGCGGGGCGGCGCCCGGCGGGCCGGGGCTGTGCCTGGCGCCGCGCGCGTCTCGACTAGACGGCCAGAGTGACCTTTCGCCGGAGTGACCTTTGGTGCGGGCACAGACGGGTCCCCATAGGGCTGCACACGAAGCAGGAACAGCGGCCTGCGCGCCCAGGTCTGGTCCCCCCGCGGCCCCCAAACAGCCGCGCACGAAGGGTCACTCTTACCCAGGGTGGCTCCTGCGTGTAGCCGAGCGTCCTCTCGGCTCCTCCTCCTCCTCCTCCTCCTCCTCCTCCTCCTCCTCCTCCTCCTCCTCCTCCTCCTCCTCCTCCTCGGCGCGCCAGATCTGCAAGTACGCCCGGGACCTGGCCCTCCCGGTGGACAGCATGCGGCTCGCCTTCCGCCTCTTCCGGGACGCGCGGCCTCGGCGCCCGCGCTCGGCCCCGCCCGCCCCCCTCCTCGGCCTGCGCTCCCCGGGGGTCGCCGGCATGGCGAGGGAGGTCGCCCTGCGTCCAGCCGCTGCCTTTTGGGGGGCATCCCACGAGGCCCGGCAGATCGCTCGGGCGTGTGCTCCTTTTTTTGTGCTCGGCAAGGGCCCTCGGGGAGCGCTGTGCGAGGAGCCCTGTGGGCCACCTCGCGAAGCCAGGCACGCGCGCAGCCGAAGCGTGCGCGGGGGCCCAGGAAGCCCTGCCTTCTGCAGTCTGCCGGCCCGCATGGCAGGGCTGGGCAGCTTTCCAAGGTTGCCCTTTTGCTCCCTTCTCTTCGGCCCATCCTTGGTCGCCTTTTCGCCGGCCGCGCCCCGCGCGCTGAAGGTGCGGGCACGGCCTCCCGAGGCCCTTGCATCCGAATCGTGAGTCCTTTATATCCGTGTTGACTGCCCACCCCTCGTCCGCCCCTCCCCCCCGTCGTCCCATCTCCTGCCGCGCCTCCTCCATCCTCCATGGGCCCTCCGCGGGCCTCCCTGCCCGATCTTGACTCTTTGTCGATGCAGGGATGGCCCTGCAACAAATCGGCTGGCTTGCCCTCCAGGTTTTCTTTTTATAGTGTTTATTCCAGACAATTGCTCGTCCTCTAGGTCTGGAGGGAGGGGGGGAGACGTGGGATTGGAGATCTGGGAGTCGTGGATGGAGAGGAGGAGCAAGAGGAGGACGAGAGGTAGGAGTATCAGGTTGAGGTGGAGGTGGGGCAAGAGAAGAGCAAGGAGGATGAGGTGGAGGAGGACGAGGAGGAGAAGGAGAAGGAGGAGAATGGATCGGACCGGATCGGATCGGATCGGAAGGGTCGGCGAAAGGGTTCAACAGGAGAGCTGCTGCCAGGGGTGCGCAGGAAGAAACATTTTTTTGCAGGCCAAGAGGGCCCGCCGAGGGGCAAGCCGCATTTTAGATTATGAAATAGCTTCGCAAAAAGCCAAGGCAGACTGAATACATAAACATCCTCCCCAACACAAGTGATCCCCTACCTCCTTCCACGGTGGCGCGGTCACGCGAGGGGCGCTCCTGGGCGCCGAACTTGAAGAGCACGACTCAAGGAGAGCGCGGGCGGAGGAACTCTCACACTCCCCACTCCCAATCAATCGTGTCCTCACCCAGGATGGGACACTGCATCAACGACCTGTGGCATGCTGGAACCTTCTGTGGAGGTCATGCAGAACACTATATCTAGCTGCGCTAGGCTGAACTTCTGGAGGAGGCTCAAGGAGATTGAGTGACTGCATTGGAAGCCTGCGTGCTGCTGGATGTTTTTCCCTTCCTCTTGAGGGCGTCAACTCTGTTAGCAGCAATCCGATTCAGGACTGCCTTAGACAGCTTGGGTGGAGAATGAGGTGGAGGATGGGGGAGGGGAGAGGAGGGCAAGGAAGCGGGAAACGGGCCCTCCTGAGAATCACCTGGGATCTGAGGGCGTGGTTCACGAGCAAACAGCAAGCCGTATGATGATTTCCTAGCTCGTCTCTCTGGCGATTCGTCGGCTCTGGATTCAGAACAGCTTTGATCCTAGCAGTTGCGAAAACCTGACGCAGAGACCTAACAGCAACATTTGGGCCCATGGGCGGAGCGTGGGCATCTATGGATGCCGACGAAACATGTGGCTATCTAGCAAAACATTACACGCGCGAAACCGAAACATGCATGGGGAATGGACGTCCGAGCGATGGCGAGTGTTCCTCTCCTACCACCGACCTCGAGCGTCTTAGAATCGCACGTTCTGCACGCGGTCGTCTCGATGACGTTTGCTGTGGAGCACGCTGTACACGATCGAGACGAGCTTGCCATGTTGGCGGGATGTTTAGAGGAAAGTCGCCGTCTCGCTCACATGATTAGGGGAACAAGAAGTGGCATAAACATAAAAACTCGGGTGTCCGCGCGGATTTCTCGGATCGGCGCCGGACCCCCCTCCCTGGCGCGCGGAGCGCGACAGGGGCGGCGCCGGAGGCGTCGCCAGGGGGCCCCAGCGCCGATCCGAGAAGTCAGCGCGGACCTTCGAGTTATTATGTTTATGCCATTTTTCGTCTCCCTGGCACGAGCGGCGCTCCGACGGCGGCGCCCATCCGACCACTCGCTGCGCGGCGTCGTTGATCGCCGTGCTGCACGGCCGCGGCCCGCACCTGGTCACAACCGGGCCGGCGCGCTGGCCCTGGACAGCAGTACCGCAGGATGGCACGCATTTGAGAGATCTATGGGCTTAGGCCACACCCGCCGACGCCTGTGTAAGCTGCTGCGCCTCCAGGACTGCATTCCACGAGGCTCGTCCGACCCGCGACACGGCGCCCGACATCGTGCCCGCTGCGTCGTTGCCGTTACTGTACCTCTTGGTGTTCTTTTGTGGCCTTTGTGGTGGCGTCTTGGCCTGTCTGCAGGCCATATCGGGCCGCCTCGAGGCATCCTGGGCCAAGTTTTGGGGCCTCTTGGGGGCGTCCTGGGGGCTTCTTGGAGGCCTTTGAGGTGCTCTGGGGGGGGTCGAATTGCAGGTTTGGGGTCCCTGGGGGGGGGCTATGGGGGGGGGGGGGGGGGATAATCTCACACGCCTAGAGACACACAAGGGGTCGGCGGATATAAATGTGGAGCGCACTAAAGGCTCGCGCCCCCACCTCGTCGCCACGCGGGGGGACCCGGACGGGACTTGAAGTGCGCCCGCGGCATTTCTGCCCGAGGCTTTGAGCCAAGATAGTTTGAGCCCAAATGGCTGCAGAGGAGGATGTCGAGACCCACGGGGAGGGCATGGCGGAGATGATGGATGATGAGCACGACGACGAGGACAGAACGAGGAGGACGGCAGGAAGGACCATGAGGAGGGGATGAACAGGAGGAGGAGGATGAGGAGGAGGGGCAGGAGAAGGAGGAGGAAAGGGAGGAGGTCGGAACCCGCCAGAAGCTGAAGCTTGAATGTGTCTCCAACATCATCAAAGGCGACACTAGATGTGGCGATTCGAAGGCTCCCTGGGGAAGTCGTATTGAAGAGACACGAGCAGTGTGATTCCTGATGGGTGCTCATTGCAGGCTGTGGTGACGATGATGCTGATGATGATGGTGATAATGGTAATGATGATGGAGATGATTGTAATGGTGATGGTAATGTTGATGCTGATGAGGAGGATGACGATGATGGATGATAATCATGCTGATGGTGATGACGACGACGATGACGATGCTGATGATGACGATGATGACGATCATGCTGATGGTGATGGTGATGGTGATGACACTGATGATGATGCTGATGGCGATGGTGATGGTGATGGCGATGATGATGCTGATGCTGATGCCCATGATGATGGTGATGGTGATGGCGATGATGATGGTGATGGTGATGGTGATGGTGATGATGGTGATGGTGCTGATGCTGCTGATGATGATGATGATGATGATGATGATGATGGTGATGATGACAATGATGACGATGAGGAGGAGGACGATGATGATGGTGATGATGATGGCGATGCTGCTGATGACGTTGAGGATGATAGTGATGATAATGGCGATGACGATGACGATGATGCTGATGATCGTGGTGATGGTCGTGCTCTCTAACGCCAGGAGCACGCGATGGTTCCGCCGGGTGGCGACCCGATACGGGACCGCCGCCCCCCCCCCCCGCGGCCGTGCGCAGCGTCCTGAGCCGCTGCCGCCGCCGTCAATCGTCGTCGTCGTCGATCGTTGTCGTCGTCGTCGTCGATCATCGATCGTCGTCGTTGTCGTCGACCGAGCTCCGAGGGGTATCCTTCTGCGCCTCGGAGAGCCCTCTCGTCGCCACAGCTGGGCTGGCCGTCGAGATTCTGGCCAGAGCTCGCCCGACGAGAGGCCCTGGTCGTGGCCTCCGCCGCCGCCGTTTCCCCGTCCAGACTCCGGGTGGCAGGGCCCATTTCGATTCCTCCGATTCGATTCGATTCCGATCTCGATTATTTCCGATTGCGATTCGATTCGATCTTCGGATTCCGATTCTTTCTTGTTGAAGGTCTATGAGGCTGCCGATTTCCGCCGATTCGACTTTTCCCGACTCGCCTGCCGACTTCCGCCGATCCGATTCATTTCGATCGCCGATCCGACTTGTCGATTCGATTTTGGGCTTTCCTGAGGTGAGGGGGCAGGAGGCAAGCTAGGTGCGTTCGCGACATGTCTGACCTCCTCCCCCTCCCGCCCACTTCGCTGGTGTTTTCCTCTATCCGCCGATGGGCGTCATGGCCTGCGCAGCGGGCAGGTCGCCCTCAAAAGGACCCCACCGTGTTATGCGCAGTCAGGGGAGTGGAGCCGTTTACAGAGGAGGAGGGGGAGGAGGAGATGGTGGACAAGCAAGAGGATGAGCAGGAGGAAGAAGATGTGGATGAGGTGGAACAGCAGCAGCATGAGCAGGAATGGGAGGAGCGCGAGAAGCAGGAAGACGAGAGGAAGGCAGAGGAGGGGAAATGAGCAGTGCGACACGGACGGTGAAACATTCGGACCCGTAATTGCGGCCGACGTTGGGACGAGAGCGCAATCCTGAACGACGGGAGCAAATGGTAGAACATGAAGTGAAGTCTTCGCTGCAATTGGAGCTCCATTGTGGAACACCAGAAAATCTCCTATGTATGTAACAAAGGCCATCTAGAACAAACACCTTTGGCAATTCACACGTGAAACAACATAATGCTGGAGCACGGGCCCCGTTGGAGCAGAAACCTGGGAGAGAAAAGTATTCACACTGAGTACGTAATGATAGACGTAAGCCTCTCCACCAAAGGGACGAAGGAGGTTAGAATAACTAACTCGTTATACCACCTGTGCCAAAATTGCTCGTGGGACTTCGGGTCCTCCCAGCTGCCCGGCAAGTTGCTCTTTCAATGGAGCGAGCGAAGCCTCTTTCCCCGACGGTCAAGTATCAGCCTGACCGTTCCAGATTGCCTTTTCGAACCGGCCCGAGCAGCGACGCTCGATCAGGGAGGAGGAGGAGGAGGAGGAGGAGGAGGAGGAGGAGGAGGACGACGACGACGACCTCGACGACGCTCGACGACGCTCGACGACGGCGGCGGCGACGTTGGCGGCGGCGGCGACGACGACGACGGCGACGGCGAGGGCGCGGCGAGTCTGGCGCGCCTTTGGTCCTCTCTGGGCCTGCGGCCACCTTCTGGGGGCCTCCCGGGGGGGCCTCCTGGACGACACCATATATCATTACGCGACCACACACCCCCACCCCCGCCCTCACCAGGGGGGGGGTTTTTCGGGGCCAAGGGGTTTTCGTTTTAGATGGACGCCGTTAGGGGGCGGAGGAAGGGGGAGCAGGGATAGGGAGAGGGGTCGGAGGAAGGAGAAGGAAGGAGGAGAAGGGTGGAGGGAGGAGGGGGCGCATGGTAAAAGGATAAGTGGGAGAAGGATGAGGGAGGATAGTTGGGCACAAGCGATAGGGGCGATGAGCAGCGTCGGTGCGAAGTCGGGAGTGCGGGCAACCGCGCTTGGGGCAGTGTGCCGTCCACCTCTTGGTTAGGCCCCTTCCCCTGGTTTCGCGCGGTCATCGGCTCTCTTCGGGGAGTCGGTCTGACTGCGCTGCAGGGGGCGGGGCCTAACCATCTGAGGTGGACGGCGCGCCAGCTCCAGGTGAGGTTGCCCTTTCCGCTGCCCATCCTCCCCCTGCCCCCCCCTCCCTGTCTCCGTGCTGCGGAGGCTCGTTCCCTTTTCCCCCGCCCACCCCTCTCCTTCCTCCACCCTCCCTCCTGCCTCCTCCGACCTTCCTCGCACCTCCCCCTCCTGTCTTGTCACACCCTTCTTCTTCCTACCACCTACCTCATCCTACCTCCTCCTACCCCCTTCTTTCCTGGAGCCCCCATGGCCCATCCGTTTCCCTCTCCCCATCCCCCTGCCTCTCCCCCCCTTCACGCCGCTGGCGTTCGGGCCCAGCGGTGGCCCTCCTCGCCCCCTTTCCGTGCCCCGTCGCCTCCTTCGCGGGGCTCGGCTGCCATCGATGGCGGCCTCGAAGCAGCGGGTGCCGAAGGACATCAAGATGCTCTGCATGATCCTGGAGAACAAGGAGCTCCTTTTTCTAATTTGGGGTTGGGGCTGGGATGAGGAATGAGATGATGGGGATGATGCCGACGATGGAGCAGAACGAGGGCGATGGCGAAGCTTGAGGTGATGACGAGGACGAGGGCCACGACGACGACGATGACGACGAGGACGTGGCCTCCGCCCCCCCCCTTCCCGCCGCCGATAGGAGCCAGTGGTGCAGGACGTGCCCACGCAGGTCCTCTCGGCGCGCATGCGCCGCGTCGCCAACATCGCGCGCCTGCTGTGCGCGGACCGCTTTTTTTTTCGCGGGGAGGGTCGAGATGCTGAGTGGATGGGGGTCAGGAGGGGGGATGGAAGGGATTGGAGTGGCATGGGGGATGGAGGTGGCTGGAGGGGCTGCCAGGTTGTAGGCAGTGGTGGGAAATTGAGTGGGATGAGTCGGGATGGAGCGGGGTGGAAGGGGAGTGGGGTGGAGGGGCATGGGGTGGGATGGATGGGGCACGTGGGCCTCGCTGTCGTCGTCGTCGTCGTCGCCCCCCGTCGCCGTCCTCGTCGTGGTCGGCGCGGTCGCCGCCGTCGTCGTCGTCGTCGTCGTCGTCGTCAGGCGTCCGCATTCGTTCGTCGTGGCCGTCGTCGTCGTCGTCGCGATCGATGCGGTTGTCGTCGTCGGCCTTGCCCCCCCCCCCATTCGGGCCCGTCTCCCAGCCGGCCCCCGCGGCCGAGCCAGGAGACGGCCAAGATTGAGACTATCGAGTGTTTAGCGGCCAAGCCGTTCGACGTCCTCGAACCCCAGGCGAACCCTTCCAAGAAGGCTCGCACTTCGAGCGCCAGAGCGCTCAAGATGAGTGAGGAGCCCAAGTTCGACGCTGAAAAAGTGAAATACCTTCGCCAGGTGCCGAGCGCCTGGCTGTTCAGCCTGCTCTCGCAGGTGGCGAACCACAAGATCAATGATGACGTCGTCACCTACTTGTGCGGCCGCGGCGCCCCCAAGATGCCGCAGGTTGTGCACTACCTGACAGGCAGCTTTGTCGCGAGCGGCGCGGGAGGGCGGGGGGTCAGGATGGGGGGAGTGGAGGATGGGGGTGGAGGAGTAGTGGGGCACTGATGGAGCGATGGAGGATGAGGAGTGCTGGAGGGAGGCGGGGAGAGCAGGGCATCGTCGTCGTCGTCGTCGTCGTCGCCCGCTGTCGCCTTTC